GCGGCGGCGGCGGGGGCGCCCCCAGCAGGTGCGGGCCCAGCAGTCCCCCGCCTCCAGCCACCGCAGCTGCCGCTGCCACAGCGGCTGCCTTGACTGAGCTGAGCGGGTGGCAAGCGGGGTGCGCGCCTGGCTGGGGCAGCGCGCGCTTGCGGCTACCGCCGTTGAACATGGCCTTGACGTCCTCCCAGGCGAAGACTAGCTCGTCCTGGGGGCTCTTGTCAGTGAGCTTGAGATGACGGCGCCACGAGTTGAAGTTGGCTGCGTCTGGCTGCGTGTACTTGGCGTCGGGCGTGCGGTGGGAGTGGAAGATGAACTTGTTGGGCGAGAAGTACATGTTACAGTAGCTGCATTTGATGCACTTGGCGCGAGAGCTGTTGTAGCGCGCCGGGATGAAGCTGCCGCGGCAGCCCCAGGCGCACTCGTGCGACACGTCGAAGGCGAAGTTGTCGGGCAGCTTGGGCGGCCTGTTTTCGCCTAGGAACGACTTGCACAAGCGCTCGGCCTCACGCTTGGTGATCATGCCGCAGCGGCGCGACGAGATGGGCATGGCCCCGGCGCGCCGCAGGATCTCCAGCTGCACCGGAGTGCACTGCACACACGTGATGCCCAGCGCCACGCGGCGGTTGTGGATCTCGTTGTAGCTGAAGTTCTTGAGGAGAGTGTTGGAGATCTGCGCCAGACACAGGCGCTCCTGCCCGTCGATCACCAACGACACAATGGGAATGCCGTAGAGGATCACCTGGCCCACCTGGTTGGGTTTGAGGTTGGCGTGACCTGGCCGCGGCTGGCTCAGCGCGTCTGGCTGGAAGGCGCTCGATGGCGATGCCAGCAGGATGTCGTTGGGCCCCGGCAGCGGGCTGGAAGCCATTTCCTCCACCGCGAAAGCCCGGGCCGAGCCCTCCGGGTCTGGCTGGGAGACTGGAAGGGAAAGGAGAAAGCGTTGACTAGAGCCTTTTCAGTCTAAAACTGAGGGGTGGGTTGAGTCGCTAACTGAAGAATTATAATAACTTTCTTGCTTTGCTTAAGACATGATTATCACTGGGCAAGTTTCAGACACAAGGCAGTTATCTCTCATTTTCTCCAAGTTCGCTCTTTGGAAATGCAGAGATTTGGAAGTACTTTTTTCCTGTTCTAAACATCCAAAGTAAATGAACTATATGTTAAAAAAAACCAGTCACTTCCCAAGAAACTCAAGACCTTATCTCCGATTTATAGAAGCTCTTAGAATAATATGGCATGCCTGCTAGAAATTAGGAAGTAATGATGACAGTTGTAACTAGTACAGATTATAAAAGTTATGGAAAATTGGGGCTTGGCCATTGAAACAAATTTAAAAGAGAAACCATTCTCATTTGCTTGAAAATAGATTGATTTTGGTTAAAAAAATAAACCCAAACCTTTTAAAAAGTGATTTTTGTGGTATCTGTGGTTTCCTTGGGGGAAATTCACTACTGGTTGAGACACAGCTCATTAAAGCAAAACGAAATCCCTTCTCCCTGATCTTTGCCATTAGATAGTTTGATACTACAATTAGAATTCTTTTTTTTTTGGAAAGCTGGAAAAATATACAAGGCCATATGCATGATTGCACCAAAATAGGGCGTTTCACTTTCAATTTTTTGAAAAGCCACTTGCTGAACTGAGTGGTTCTGGTTCCAGATAGGTAGCTTAAAAGATGAAGATGTAGACTTGTAGACATTTAAAAACTGTTTTCTGTCATTTCCATGGCAATGAGCAAATAAGTACAGGCAAGTGTGTTAAGCTTTGAAACAGTGCAAAGAAACGAACAATTCTTGGGGATCATTATTGGTGGGCTTTAAAAGGCAAATTTAGTTGTAAGGTGAACCACTTTTTGTGACATTTCTTTTTCTGATCTATGTAGATATCCGTATATCTTTATGGGGGAAAGATGCTCCACGGTATGAATAATCCACGGACTAGGTAATCTGTGGAAGTGTTAAAATCAGAAGCCGGGGGTTGGGCCTGAGGTAAAATTCCTATCATCTTTGGTCAACGGGATACCATAATGGGGGGAAATATCCAGTAAACTGAAAATACAGAAAAAGCCAGCGAAAGAAACCTTTGTGACAAACGCTGCTCAGTCGAAACAAGCGAAGTGGCTCATTCCCAAGGAAAACAGACGGCGACCATTCCACAGCTACATGTCATGTGGGGCACAGGGGCTAAGATTATCCTTTGCCTTGGAAAATCACTGGTGGCCTGTAGTATTGCCATTCTTGGCCAAGCACACTGGAGTTTGTTATTACAGCGATTTCAGAGGATACACAATCCTACCCAAATTGTCATATCCTTGCCCTCTCTGGGCCCCTGTGACATCTATCTCCTACACCTTTGCCCTGCTGCCCCCTAGATCCTCAGCTCTCATTACATTCTGCAGCCTCCAGGAAGATGGAACAAACCTCGACGCGATCAAATGAGACAAGAGCCTGGCACGTCACTTCGGATGGATCAGAGACAATATTTCCAGGGGACAAGGCGTTACATGGCAGATCAAGGCACAGTGATACCTGGGCCTGACACGGCCAGCCCTAGCTTTGCCAAATGGTCCTTCGATGCTCATTTCCCCTCCCAAACAAGATTCTTATTATCTTGATAAGACCCTGGGATAATGGGAACTCTCGCTCTGGAGGACGCGCTCAGCAGGCCTGGCCCTGGCGGGGAGCTGGCTTTGCGTTGGAGACCCGCAGCCTTAGCAGCTGTAGACGGGGCAGAAGTGTCTCCTTCTGGGTGTCCTCTACTTTCGCCCCAAGCACTCCCAGAAACTCTTATCAGAGCAGAGTTACAAATAAGAAGGTTTAGGTTGCGGGATTTTTTAAGCGAGTGAGGGGAGGAGAGAATTAAAAGTTAGTTGAACTGAGAAAGGAAGCTGGGGAACTTCCCTATCCGACTCACGAGCCAACGACCCCCAACTTAACTCTCCTGGCTCGCAAACCAATCACCGCCGAAGCCCACCGCTGCCCCTCAATATCTAATACGGAAAATCCCACCTCCGGGGATCTCAAATAGTGAACCGCGAGCTGTGTGCCAAGTCAGGGCCGGCGGGTTCTGGCAGTACCTGGTAACCTCTAGGTGTCTTTACGCGTGTGGCTGCCGGCCCATCTTCTGAGGGTGCTCGGAGGCGAAGCATCCAAGCGGGTCCTCGAATCCAGCGGGCGGGACTCGCGAGGGCTCAGCGTGAAGATCCTGGCGCTCGTCGGCGCTAATGGCGCTCCAACCCGGGCCGGGGGAGAATGATGGCCGGAATCGCGGCGGGGCGTCCCCTCGACCGCAGAAAGTGTGGGCGCGCGGAAACCCGCGGCAGGCGAGCCCAGGTGGAGCGCAGTCTGACAGCGCCTTTCTCTGTCTCTGAACTCGTGTCGGACCGAGGGGACGCCACCCAGCGGGCAAGGTGACGTCACCGTCTCCCTGACACTCCACATTAAAGGGCTGGCATGTTACAGGGAGGGAGGGGGAGAGCGAATGCGAGAGCGAGCAACATCGAGATCCTTTCTCAGCAGGCAGAAAGCTAACACCTAACCAACCCGCAATTGACAAAAACCTCTCCAATCCTGGAGCAAAACGCAGCAATGGTGTTGGAGCCGCAGATCTGATGTAGGAGTGGAAAGCCGAATAATCTGGGTGCATCCCAGGGAGCTGGATTTTGGAGGCCCCGGATTCTAGAGGACGCCTCTAAATTGACTGTATCTCTGCCCGTTATTGTCCCCTCCCCTCATTTCTCTGAGCCACTCTCCTTCATGGAACGATCCCTCTGGTACACGGTGCAAACTAGTAGTCTCACTGTGTCTCCGAAGATATAGAAACCACAGTTAGCCGGGAATAGAGTAGCCTCAGCGCCTCGGTTCAAACACTGAAATGAGCAAAAAGGGAGAAGTTTCTGCATAGGGTGCTCAATCTAAAAACTTGGAAGGAAGCATGGAGAGTGTCCTCACTTTGGAATATACGTGTGGTCTTTAGGACAAGATACGGAGAGTCAGGGCAGCGTTCTCTGTTTTAGAAAGTGTACAATTAATTGAGGACACCATGAGTGCATATGTGCATCTGTCAACTTCATTGAGAATAGTTCTCTTATCCATTTTTTAAGACCCATGAAGGCTACCTCAGCACAAGGAAAAGGTGATACAGGAAAGCAGGGAGGCCCCCAACCCTGACCCACCCTTGAGCAAGCTGTCAATTCCACCCCAGAGGTAGATTTCTCAGGGAACTTTGTAGGACCATGCCCTAAAAAACAATAACAAAATAAAATAAAGACAACTAGGATGATAAAGAACCATTCTCCTTAGCTTCCCCGAAGTGAGGCATACCCTAGGACATAGTGGAGTGTCAGTATATTGCCTCCTAATTGATCAGCTGTTAGGAGTCAAAATGACCACCCCTAGTTTATCAGAAAGGGAAGTAGCTATCTATTTAGAGGACATTCTAAGAACGATACTTGCAGGGGATAGGATTGAGGGATCCTTTAAGTTTTTCCTTTACTATCACAGCCGAATTTTCAGTTGCTGCGTGGTGAACACACAGGCTTGGAGTTGGGCAGTCACTAACCAGGAAGCCCAACCAGACTCCATTATAGCATCAACATCAAACCATCACAAAAATACAAGAGTGAAAATGTGAAATTTTAACACTTCGTCAAAGGTCAATAAAACCAAGGAGAGTCAATCGAACAGAAAAGTGAGGGATACAGGATTTGCAGCTGTTTTAAATTAATATATCGAAAACACAGTTTTAGAGCTACGAAAATTGTAATGTTTGTTTGGGCATAAGTTTCAAATGGCAGTGAAATAATTTTTTGCCCATCTCTTAGTTTCTAAAGGCCTTGGGGCATGAATTAGGCTCTGTTCTAAGGGGCTGAAGTCAACGGAGTGCTCCCTCCCCAGAGCCTTCCAAGTCTCCCATCAGCTTTAAGCCTGCCCAGCCCCTTTGCGAAAAAAGCGTCACTGTTATTCACAAATCCCTTCTCCCGGAAGGCTGAGGCCCTCGCGCTGCTCCTCCGAAGGCTCCAGGGCCAGGCCTAGTTCTTCCCACCTTCCCTGCCTCCTCTCTGGGGTCAGGAGCTCCTACAAAACCAGGTCCTGGCTTACTCACTATTCCTAGAGCCCAGGCTGCTAGAAAAAAAGCGTGAGCCACATGGAAAGAAAGCCTGGAAATGGGGCAGATTTTAAGACTGAAAAAGAAAAAAAAAGGGGGAAGAAACGAAAAATCCTATCACCTCATTAATGTACCACAGGGAAATGCCTGGTCACTGCTGAGGAAGAAGCACCACAGTGTCTTCACTTTTTATCGTGATGTTCCCATCTTTGCCCCCAAAAGGCTCCTCTTCCCCTTATGGGTCCCTACTTAAAAAAAAAAGTGTCTTCAAAAATATCTTTCTTTGAAAAGAGGAATGGGACGAATCTTTGTCTTTACTCTCATCCCAGGTTACCCTGAGGAGTGAATCCACACCTGGGTGGTACCTGTAGCCACCTCCTTACCTGATATTTAAACGTAAACACTTACACATTACTTTGGAGGCTTTCTGCCATACAAACCTGTGACTTTATTTTAATGCAAAAAAAGTTTCACTGGAAAGAGAAATGTATGATGTTAGTTTAAATACTTTTGCACAAATAATTCTAAGAAGAGCACAATATTTTATTTCCGCAATGAGTCTGGGGTGCCTGTTTGAGCTATCAGGCCAATTATATTTTTGGAGGATGAAGGTGGAGAACAGTTGTCCAAAGCAAGACTCTGCTCCAGAGAATCCTCATCTTGGGTCTGGAGCTGGACTGCAGAATTACAGTCTTTTATACCTTTTGAGTCTGTGAGCAACTTTCTGCCACCCACTGTCTCTCTGACCCTTTGCTTTCTCCTC